GAGGACGCTGTGGGAGCGAGTGACGATTCACGCTCTTTGCTGGCACTGCCAGGAGACCTGTGTGTGTGTGTGTGTGTGTGTGTGTGTGTGTGTGTGTGTGTACCAAAGAGCCAAGCCTGCAGGGACTGGCACAGCTGATCCTCCCTGTCACCAGCTCTACCACGTGGCTACAGTGACCAGTGTCATACCAGGAGATACCAAATAGGCAGTACAGGGGGGGGTAACATTTAAAGAGCAGATGGCGGTTATGAAATAATCACGTTGTAAAATAAAAACTAAAAACGATCAACAGATCAGGGTAATGACTCTAGTCTAGCTCTGGATATTTTTAAAAGGGGAAGTCAGTCATCTGATTTTGAGGAATTGAACACTGGAACATCACCTTCTAAATAACCTGAACCACTCGAAAATATCAACATCTACAATCCAGTGCAAACATGAGATATCACTGAAGATTCAAATATTACATAAAGGGCCTTTTTTCAAGCAGATATGAAAACAATAACGGCACAAAGAAAATCTGATTGCAGCATAGCACTGAAGTAAGTCTGAGGACATAAAGATCAAAGCAGCTCACAGCGACATTAATGAAGAGAAGCTTTGTCCAAAAAGCAGAGAGCTGACGCTTAATCTGTAGAAGGGTTTTAACTGGCACCGATTCATGACACAAAACACTTCGGCTAAAGTTCTTTGCATCTATGCGAGTCATGTTTCCAACAATGTCATTTGGTCAACGGTAACAGCTTTAAGTTTGAATTGTGTAAAATATCACATGTGTAATGTGTGACGCTGAGTGCTGATTCACTTCTCAATAATACACACCGAGCAGCGAGCACAGGACTCACTTCACTTGACAAAACATTCATTTAGAATGACACCTGGGTAGTAGGCTAGGCTATAGTTTTAGGTATCACAACATAACATATGGAAATAAATATAAAAATAAGTGATCATAGTTTCACATAATTGGTATGTTTAGTAATACTGAAAGTCCCTACATTTAGTAATAAATGTTTTAATATGAAAATAAAGGGCTCTTTTTATTATGTGAGCCATGATAATAAGAACTGCATTTAAACATTGTTTAAAATGTGCTTTTTACTTGAAATAATTGCACAGAAAGCAAACCTGAAGTTAATTAGGTTGATAAAAATAAATCCAGAGCATTAACAGAGCATAAATTAATTTTTAGCCAAACCTGTAGTATTGAGTATGTGTTGGGTGCATTTCCCATCTCCATTTCCTGTCAAGAGATATTGATGTACACTGGCTTCGTATGCTAGACTGAACATTAATGCTCCCTGCGAATCTCACTTAAAGGGGTCATATAATGGTACATGCACTTTTACAAGTTGATTGTACTGAAATGTGTGTTGGCAGTGCCTGTACACAACCATCATATAATGATAAAAATCCATCCAGTGTTTTTGTTTTAATCTCCTTATATGTTTTCCCCTGCCTCAAATCGAGCCGTTTGAGCCTGTGACGTCACAAGCTCGCACGCCCCTCCCACGATTGTTGATTGACTGCAGCGTTTCAACACAGACCCGCCCTCGGTCGTGAGGGAGCTGTCAATCATAGTCCGCGCACAGTGCGCAGACCGGCGCGGTCATTGTTGATATGCTGGAGCACTGTCTATGAGCAGAATGGCGTCTAAGCGATTGTGGTGTTCTGTTCTTGGGTGTAATAACAAACACAGTCATTTTAATGTTCCTAAATCCGAACCGCTGAAGACGCAGTGGCTGAGTTTGTTTTCGAAGGGAATATTCCCCACGAGCAACGTCAATGCTTTCATGTTTGCGCGAATCATTTCTCAGTGGACTGCTTTATAAACGAGGGTCAGTATAAAGCTGGATTTGCTAAGAAGCTGCTCATGAAAAAAGGATCGGTACCAGCTATTCGTGTTCCTGCTGAACCTCTGTTTAGAACAACTGAAGTGAGTGTAACGTTTTATTAAACTTTACATTAATATTTATATTAATCTTTGCAAATCGCTAGCTGCACGCTTCACAATGAATGCGTCTAAGGTTTACACTTAGGGTACATTACGGCATGTTTTCTATGTATGATGTTCTCAATATAATTCATAATCCCACGTTTATACTGAACAACGCGTTATGGTTATTGTGTTATTGAGTAACAAATGGTGTAACGTTAGGCACAGAACAGAGAGGCGGGGTGAGCAAAGCTCATTATCATTTAAAGTCATATGCACTGAAACGGCGTGCTGAAAACAGAGCTGTTTTTGACCAAGTAAAATAAGTGTTTTCTTACAATACTAATGAGAATGTTTAATTAAAGTATATTACAAACTTTTAATTAGACCCTAAAGAATCATACTAGCTTGTACAAAAATGGCATTATATGACCCCCAGATGGTCAAATACCCTGGAAGTCCACTGCACGAGACATTATCAAGCAACATAGCTACCTTTAGTTATACATCCTGTCTGATCTCACGGCCATTTTTTACAGACACGTTTTTTACATTAGATCTACTAAATGACTTGGGCTAAATCTTAAAGGGATAGTTCACCCAAAAATAAAATATTCTGTCATTAATTACTCACCCTCATGTCGTTTCAAACCAGTAATTCTTTAGTTCATCTTTGGAAATGAAGATATTTTTGATGAAATATGAGAGCTTTCAGTCCATCCATAGAAAGCTACACAATTGACACTTTGACGCTCCAAAAAGTTCATAAAGAGATTGCAAAACTAATCCATATGAATTGAGCGGTTAAGTCCAAATTTTCTGAAGAGACAAGGTCGTTTTATATGATGAACAGATTGAATTTAGGCTTTTATTCACATATAAACATTCATCAACTCACACATCAGTTGTGGTAAACGGAAGCTCAAGCATGTTCGCCTGACGTGCGAGAACCAATGAGGTTCATTCTCGTGTTACGCCGCACGTTTGAGCTTCTGCAAGAGGTTTGCTCTCGCGCATCAAGCAGGTTCGGTTGAGCTTCTGTTTATGTTCGCTGATCAATGTTTATGTGAATAGAAAGCCTAAATTCAATCTTTACATCATATAAAGTGATCGAGTCTCTTCAGAAAATTTGGACTAAACCACTCAATTGATATGGATTAGTAGGGCCTAGTTTTACGATCTCTTTATGAACGGTCAAAGTGGTAGTTCAATGGAGGGACAGAACTGGCACAGATTTTATTAAAAAATATTTTCATTTGTGTTCCGAAGATGAACGAAAGTTTAAAGAGTTTAAAACGACATAGGGTGAGAAATTAATGACAGAATTATCATTTTTGGGTGAACTAACTCTTTAAATGTGATGCACTAGCTACTGTAATACCATCATGTAATGACATTTAAGAAGCATTTACATTGTTCTGTTCATTAGTTTTAAAACAGTGACAAAGTAAAACAAGGTTTAATAGTAAAAGTAAAGAAAAACTGAAAACTAGGTATAGCCTTTAAATGGGGGCAATTTAGGTCACGTTTGACTGATTTGGCCCCAAGCCAATATTATGATGGCCCTGGGATAACATCACAGATTGAATGACTTGCACAAAACAAGGGTGGTGTGTTGATATAATAAAACCACAATAATCGTCCATCTCTAATCTTATTCACAGTTCTGTATACCCTCACCAAAGCACACAACACAAATTAAATGGCATGAGCAGCCTGGAGGTGTGGAGGCCATACACAGCTGTTCATGAGTCCATGACCTCTACCTGATGCAGCTGTCCATCAATTCACCATTAATGTTACACCGTGTCCCAATAATTCACCATGGCCTCCATATCACAACTTGAATGATGATTTACTGGGATTAGTTTCAGCCTTCATGAGTGTCCATGTGTAACGTTAGATAGATAGATAGATAGATAGATAGACAGACAACTGATCCAGTGTGGGAAATTGGGGTGCGTATTATCAGCCAGACAGTCAACAACACTACACAGACTTTACCACATAGACCGTAAAAAACACAGAAAGGTAATGTTTACGTTATACACGATTTATAAAATAGACACCCTATAATTAGCATTAAACGAGGGGAAAAGAAAAAGAAATAACGGCCATCATGTATAGGAAAAGTAAAATTGGAATTACATTAGCGAGTAGCAACACACATGAACCAGGCTAGAAAACAACATATTATTATATTATAAACTGCATGACATGAACCACAAATAATTTCAGTAGGTTACAGTCGGGATGAGGCGATATCTTCAGTGACAGTACGACAATTACAGCTCACTAAACATAACCTAAATAACCTCAAAATAAGTCATAATAATTCCGCATGTGATTAACTCTAGGTAACGTAAACAATAATAAACGATCGTATTTGTGAATTTTCTCCATATGAGTGATTATTCGCCAGCAGCTAACAGGCTAGCGGAGTCCTCCACTCCTAGCCACAGCTAGCCAGCCCCGGCTACACACAACCAATACATGCCGAGCTGTGCGCTTCATTTTCACACAGCTGGATTGCATTGAATGTCATTTATATAAACCGAATAACATATTAACATTTCTAGAAAGATGCAAAGAAAGGAAGCTGTATTTTGGAGGAAGGAAGCTAGCGCCAGTGGGCAGTGTGTATGTGTTTTGCATGTCTCCAGTGTATCCGCATATCCATGAGAACTCACCAGACCAGCCGATGTGTTCAAGCGTCAGTGAGAAGCGCTCTACAGAGATCCTCTTGCGCTCTTCCCATCCATATTTCACGGGTGATGCCAGTGCTTTCTGAAGCGGTTACTGGTTCTGTTAGATCAGCTAGCTAGTGGCCATATTTAATCCTCGACATCCCAAACAACACAAGCTTGAGCTCGTCCCAGCTCCAGCACTACTTCAGATCTTAGCGGTGTGGGAGACGCTGCCTCCCAGTGCTCGCTGTAGTACTTTAATTACACGGGAAACGGCGACTCCTGCTGGTCAGAAGGATGCAGCTCTCCGTTTAAATTTGGAGGAACGGTTTTTTTTTTTTACTCTGGTCAGGTAATAATAGAAGGCCAATCTGTCAGAATTTATAGTGTTTGTTTAATGCACTTTACTGCCACAGCAGTAAAAGAAGAAAGGAATGTCAATTTTACATGATGCTGATGTGGATGTTACAGTTTCAGTGCAATCAATATGTAAATATATTCACTTGTAATACATGTATATTTAATCAAACACATTTCTCAATAATAATAAATCCTACACCTGTGCTATAACTTTATGTTACATCCATTTTACATTCCTAATATATCATAAGCATAATGCTCCCACAATAAGGAGCAGTTTACTTATAAGGTGAATATTCAATGCTGGTCTAAACACCCGACGATTAGGAACATACATGTGTTCTTGGCAACAACATTTCATCAGTCATGACCAAAGCAAATATAAATCAATAACATTTCTGCAGCATGCACAGCTGAAGCATTATGTTATTCAATCTAAGATCAAGTGGCATCAACTGTGAATGGCAAACAAACAAAAGAAGATCAATAACCAAATTACTAATTCTGTAAGTAGAACACAAAGGGAAACATTTATGTATGATTCAAATAAACATTATAGAAGAATTTACACAAGTAAACCTAAAATATATGTATAAGAATGCAGTATTTCTCCATGCATATTGCATTTTCGAATGCGAAACATAATTGTATCTTTATTCATTAATTATTCCTGTTTTAACTGGAACAATCTCTCTCCGTTGCATTTAATTACACTTTAAAGGTAGATTTTTAAACAGATTATTTTTTTATTTAAATGAGCAAGCACAGAGCTAACATTTTCATCTTATTGAACACATTTTGATGGAAAATTAAACATTTCAGAGAAAAACATCATCAGAACTTGAATGTAAACTTACAATTCAACTATAAAGAACATATAATGACTTAAGGATAATGACTGTTTGGCATATTAGAAAATGATATTAGTAATTGTATGACTTTTATGACTAATAATAATAAAAATAAGAATACAAATATTAATCAACCTAACCCTGAAATTTACTGTACTCCTGTTTAATACAGCCATAAACAGAATGGTAAAAGTGCCTGTCTGGAGCCATAAGGTCAGTGACCATCTCGGTGTGGTTCATTTTAGGTATTAGATAAAGAGACATACTGACAGAAAGAGAAGTCAGGAGCTCAGAGAACATCACTGATGATTCCGCCGGAACTATGATGTCATTGGTTCCATGGAGCAAACCCACTGGAGGAACGCTGCAAGAAAATCATAGCAAATAATAAAGTGTTTACTGTTAATTCTACAATAATATAATGAATTGCTCTGACCCTCACAGTAGCTAACATAACACGGAGCATATTCAACACCCTGACTGTATTCTGCCTCTTTCTGTACTTGTGACCTTTACTTGGTAATCTAACAAGTTGGCCAATTAACTATAGTGATACAAAGAAAACCAATTAATGTATTGCTGCTTCAGCAGTTGTTAATGTGTAAATAGATATGCAATAACTGTCATACCGTTTCAACTGATCCTTATTCAATTTCTTGAGTAATGATGTTGGTGAATAATAATCAAAGTTCTCCACACCATCCATAGCTTTGTGCATAGTTGACACATATTCAACAGCCCGCATTTTCTCATGCTTATAATGATCCAATATACTGTAAACGCCACTCAGACCTATTACAAAAACAAAAAAACACAACATGAATGAAAAATATTGCTTTTCTTGATCAAGTTTTTTTTCTAAAGACAAACTGAATTAACAGGGCAACTGCTATGCTAAATAATAAACAATCATAATACAAGACACATAATAAATCTGGAGCATTAATTTACCTATGATTCCTTTAATGGCAGATACAAGATCTCTCTGTTTGTTGGTCTCGATGAACAATTCTTCTACATTGTTCACCAGAAACAGTGTGGTAATGGAACACAGATGAGCTCCCGCTGAATGACCTATTAATATTATGTTGTCCTGCATTAAAAAGCGTAGGTTCAGAATTAGATGAAGATTTCTACATCAATTTAGCCAAGGTGAAACTGTTTTATTACAAAATCGAAAATATACACTACCGTTTAAAAGTTTGGGGTCGCTAAGAATTAAAAAAAAATGTTTTGAAAGAAATCTCTTACGCTCACATACAGTAAAAACAGTAATATTGAGAAATATTGTTACAATTTATTGAGATAACTGTTTTCTATTTTCATATATTTTAAAGTGCAATTTATTCCTGTGATACCAAAGTGGAATTTGCAGCATCATTACTCCAGTTTTCAGTTTCAGATGATCATTCAAAAATCATTCTAATATGCTGATTTGCTGCTCAAGAAACATAATTTGATAATTTTGTGGAAAACGTGATGCATTTTTTTGGGATTCCTTGATAAATAGACATTTCAGAAGAACAGTATTTATTTGAAATAGAATTGTTTGTAACAATGCAAAAGTATTTGCCACTTTCTATTTATTTATTGCATATTTGTTGAATAAAAGTATTAATTTCTTCTTTTTTTTTAAAACACACCTCAAACTTTTTAATGGTAGTGTACTATGAAAGCACTTTGAAATATTAAAGTGCTAATATTAAATATGACAAAGTTAATATTATTACAAAGTGCATTGAGTAATGCTGAACTGTTAAATTGGCATTTGTGATGCAATTTTAACAGTTTTTACAACATTTAACATTTTGTTAAGTTCATTGAACAGGAAACTTACTTGATCAAGATTGAACGCATGTCCCTTTTCTCTCACCCACAGCAAACTGTCACTAATGTCTTGAATCATATTTAACACATTTCCCTAAAAACACAGGACACATTTAAAAAAAATCCACACTAAAAAAGTAAATAATAAATATTTATAGGTGGTTTACCTTTGGAAATATGGAATAATCAGGACATATTACAGAGGCATTAAGCTCTTTTGCCATTTGTAAGGCTAACAGGCAGTAAATAGAGCGGTCTCCTGAACCCCAGGCTCCTCCATAAACAAATACAACCACCGGTACAGGAGCAGCATCAGAATGACCCGTGCTTGGTGAATAATATAAATCTAACTTATTCCCTCTGCGACCAAAGGTGATGCCCTAAAAAAGGACAGAACAACAATGAAATAAAATAGAAATTAACAAGTGTGTTACATCCACCAGCTGGAGTGCCCTTGATTTCCACTAGAGGGCAATCCTCCCTTCGCCTTTGCTTTCCCATCATTAAAGGAGAACTCCGGCGCAAAATGAACCTTTGGTCTAATTACACATTGTAACCTAGTCAACCGTTATCTGAGATTTGTTTTCATGATTATCGAATGTAAATAGTTTTATCTCTAAAAACAGTTTAGCCTATAAAGCTAGTATAACGCTAGTATATTGGGCATAGATCAATGACAAATAAAAATCGCTTGTTAAAGGAACACTTGTGGAAATTGCAGTAAATTGCAAGAGACAACTTCTCACTTTGAGCACACGAATGCGTGTGTCATTTATTTATAGAAAGAAAAGAAATAATAACAAATGGCGCTGACATGCGTCCCACGTGAGCACACGTTCAGAGTATTTAAAGGGACCGCGATCCCTGAACAGTCGTGAAGAACAGAGTGCTGTGTTTACAACCAACAGTGTATAGAACTACACTTAACAAAGGTGAATTATGTATCTTACATCCACCACACACGTCCCCCCAGAATTCACCGTATTAGAAAAAGAACCAAACAGTCAACGGGGAGGTGGACGTATCAGCCGGCCACAACGGCTGCGCTGTGCCGGAGGTCGAGGAGACCCCACTGTAACCTGTGTCCCGTTATGACACGGGTGTGGGGCATGGAGTGTGGGAGGTAGGGGAGGGGGCAGAGCAGGAGGCCGTCCGCGCCGTGGGGGCTGAGCCAGGTCAATAGGCCTAGCTATGTCCAAGTGAGCTGGTTTAAGGCGGTCAATGGAGAATCGCTCTGGTTTGCCGCCCCTGTCCACCACAAAATGTTTGTCCCCTGTCTCCAGAACCCGGAATGGGCCCTCGTAGGGTGGGCGTAGCGGTCCCCTGTGGGCATCGTGGCGAATGAAAACATAGTCAGCCGTCTGAAGACCAGTGGGAATGTGCGACTGAGGGAGGCCGTGACAGGAAGTTGGGACAGGTGTGAAAAGCCTTGCATTGTCCAATAAAGTAGACCGCTGGAGAGTAGCAGACCAGGGAACTGTGGTGTTAGGTACGAAATCCCCTGGCACCCGCAGCGGCTGTCCATAAACAAGCTCAGCGGATGAGGACTGAAGGTCCTCCTTTGGCGCAGTCCTGATGCCCAGCATCACCCACGGGAGCTTGTCGACCCAGTTGCTGTCTTTGAGGCTGGCACGCAGGGCAGCCTTCATCGCCCTATGAAAACGTTCACAGAGTCCGTTAGCCTGCGGATGATATGCGGTCGTGCGGTGGAGTTTTACTCCGAGGCTCTGTGCGACAGCGCCCCACAGCTCAGACGTGAACTGCGCGCCTCGGTCAGAGGATATGTCTGAAGGGGTGCCGAAACGGGCAACCCAAGTGCCAATAAATGCCCGTGTCATCTCGATGGACGCCACTGACGTCAGTGGCACAACCTCAGGCCAGCGGGTGGTCCTGTCAACCATGGTTAACAGATACGTGAAACCGTGAGAGGAGGGCAGAGGACCGACCAGGTCCACGTTTACATGGTCAAAACGCCTCTCAGGTACCGGGAAAGTCTCTAACGGGGCTTTAGTGTGGCGGTGTACTTTGGCACGTTGGCACTCAACACAGGTGTTAGCCCAGTCCCTAACATCCTTCTTGAGGCCGTGCCAAACAAACTTTGCTGCAACCAGCCTCTGTGACGCTTTCGAACCTGGGTGGGAGAGACCATGGATGGCATCAAAAACCTGTCGTCTCCATCCTGAGGGAACGACCGGCCGAGGACTACCTGAGGAGATGTCACACAGGAGCGTAGTGCCGGCATCACCAAAAACCACGTCCTCGATCTGCAGCCCTGTGTTCGAGGTCTTCAGGAGTTGCACATCCGGGTCTGTGGACTGAGTCGCTGCCATGCGGGCGTAATCCAAACCAAGATGGACTGCCCCTGCCACAGCACGTGATAGGCAGTCCGCCACGCAGTTGTTCTTACCAGCAACGTGCTGCAAGTCCGTGGTGAACTCTGAAATGTAGGATAGTTGACGTTGCTGGCGGGCGGACCACGGCTCAGCTACCTTGGCCATGGCAAAAGTTAGTGGCTTGTGGTCCACAAAAGCAGTGAAATGTCGGCCTTCCAGCATTGAACGAAAGTGTCTAATGGCTAGGTAGAGACCCAGCAGCTCCCGATCGAAAGTGCTGTACTTCCGCTCACAGGGGCGCAGCTGACGGCTAAAGAAAGCCAGTGGCTGCCAGGCCCCGCCTACCCACTGTTCATAGACCGCACCGACGGCGTAGTCCGAGGCGTCCGAGGTGATGGCGATGGGGGCTGTAGGAGAAGGATGTGCCAGCATGGTGGCGTTCGCTAGGGCGGCCTTTGTGGCAGCAAAAGCCTCGTCCCTGCCATCAGTCCATTCCACATCTTGCTTGGGTTTACCTTTCAAGGCCTCGTGCAAGGGCCGCATGAGCTGAGCAGCTCGAGGAATGAAGCGTGGTAAAAATTCACCATCCCAAGGAACTCCTGCAGCGATTTGACAGTGAGCGGGCGTGGGAACTGTGTGACTGCCTCCACCTTTGATGGGAGAGGAACTGCCCCGTCCTTAGTGACTCTGTGTCCCAGGAAGTCGATGGTGGAGAGACCGAACTGGCACTTGGCGGGGTTGACAATTAATCCATGTTGGCTAAGCCGCTCAAAAAGGGTTCGGAGGTGTGCCAGGTGCTGAGACTTGGACGTGCTCGCCACCAGGATGTCATCCAAGTACACAAAAAGGAAAGGCAGGTCCCGCAAAACAGAGTCCATGAGGCGCTGAAAAGATTGGGCGGCATTTTTAAGGCCAAACGGCATGCGCAGGAACTCAAACAGCCCAAATGGCGTGATCACTGCCGTTTTGGGAATGTCCAGTGGGTGCACCGGCACCTGATGGTATCCCCGGATGAGGTCCACTTTGGAAAAAATCACCTTGCCAGCCAGGTGTGCAGAAAAGTCCTGTATGTTCGGAACAGGGTATCGGTCAGGTGTCGTTACTTCATTAAGCCGCCGGTAGTCACCACACGGGCGCCAGCCACCGCCCGGTTTGGGGACGATGTGGAGGGGTGACGCCCACGGGCTGTCGGATTGGCGGACTATGCCCAGGCGTTCCATGTTCGCAAACTCAGCCTTTGCAACGGCAAGTTTGGTCGGGTCAAGGCGCCGAGCACGGGCGTAGAAGGGTGGGCCAGAAGTGGCGAGATGGTGCTCCACACCATGCTTGACGGCAGATGCAGAGAAAGTGGGCTGAGTGAGGGCTGGGAAACTGGCAAGTAGACGGTGGAAATCATCGGAAGCTGAGAGCATGCTAGACAATCGTATGGAGTCGGCCTCGCTGAGCATGCACGTATATGAACAGAATGTAACGGCGTCAATCAGACGGTGGTTCTTAACATCCACCAACAATCCATGTGCACATAAAAAATCAGCACCGAGGAGGGGGATGGCAACCTTTGCTGTAACAAAATCCCAGCCGAACTGCTGTCCTTCGAAACACAATTCGACGTACCTCGTTCCATATGTGCGGATGGGGCTACCATTGGCAGCTTCCATAGGGGGGCCGTGGCTGTCGGCCACCATGTCCAAACGGGATGCAGGCAGGATGCTCCTCTGTGCTCCCGTGTCGCACAGAAAACGGCGTCCGGAGATGCTGTCACGGATGAAAAGCAGCCTGTCTACGCGGCCGACACTCATGGCCACTACTGAGCGCCGGCCCTGGCGTTTCCCGAACCGCCGAAACTGCATGGCGAACGGCATTTGGTAGCCTTACTTCCAAACTTTGCATGGTAGAAACATAAGCCTGAAAGCTGTTGGGTGCCAGAAGACTGCTGCCGACGAGAAGTGGTTGCACCGATGAGTGTGGAATCGTCCCTTGTCACCGTAGCGATGTGCGCGGGAAAAAACGCGGCCGCACAATGTCCTTGACTCGCCAGAAAAAATTTATCAGCCTCTTCAGCCAGTCTCCGACAGTCAGTGATTGTGGTGTTAGCTAATGCAGCTCTCACTTGGGAAGGTAGCTGACGCAGGAATAACTGGATGAATAGGAAATCTGGTCTGTGCTCACCTAAAAGATCCAGCATGCGGTCCATGAGCTCAGACGGTTTGCTGTCACCCAATCCTTGAAGTGAGAAAAGCCTGTTGGCTCTCTCAGTGTCCGACAGTTCAAACGTTTTCAACAGGTGGGCTTTGAGTGCTGCATACTTCTCATTTTCGGGAGGATTTGTAAGAAGGCTCACCACTCTGGATGCTGTTGAATTTCCGAGAGCCGACACAACGTAGTAGTATTTCGTTGTATCCGCGGTGATCTCACGTAACGCAAACTGCGCTTCAGTCTGGGCGAACCATGCAGATGCTGACGATTCCCAGAATTCGGGGAGTTTAAGGGTGACAGCGTTCGCGGTCATGGTCGTGTCGTGTCTCTGGATACGTCCAGCAGACTAATGTCGGGGTCACCAGTGTGGAAATTGCAGTAAATTGCAAGAGACAACTTCTCACTTTGAGCACACGAATGCGTGTGTCATTTATTTATAGAAAGAAAAGTAATAATAACAAATGGCGCTGACATGCGTCCCACGTGAGCACACGTTCAGAGTATTTAAAGGGACCGCGATCCCTGAACAGTCGTGAAGAACAGAGTGCTGTGTTTACAACCAACAGTGTATAGAACTACACTTAACAAAGGTGAATTATGTATCTTACATCCACCACACACTCCGACTTTTTGGGACTTTAGCCTATTCACCTTATCCCCCAGAGTTAGAAAAGTCCATACATACCTTTTTCATCTCCGTGCGTGCTATAAGTCTGTTTGACGCACCCACCGCTAGCCTAGCTTAGCACAAAGACTGGATGTAAATGGTTGCAGCTAGCATACTAATCCAAATAAGTGACAAAATAGCGCAAACATTTTCCTATTTACATGTTGTGATTTGTATAGTCACAGAGTGTACAAAAAACGAAGTCACATGAGACACAGACATATTTTAACCGTATAAATACTGGGAACTATATTCTCTGAAGGCGAAGCACTGCTACTTGGGCGGAGTGATAGCCGCAGCACCTGAGACGAGCCGTGGTGAGGAGCAGAGAGCGCGTCTCAGGTGCTGCGGTTATCACTCCGCCCAAGTAGCAGTGCTTCGCCTTCAGAGAATATAGTTCCCAGTATTTATACGGTTAAAATATGTCTGTGTCTCATGTGACTTCGTTTTTTGTACACTCTGTGACTATACAAATCACAACATGTAAATAGGAAAATGTTTGCGCTATTTTGTCACTTATTTGGATTAGTATGCTAGCTGCAACCATTTACATCCAGTCTTTGTGCTAAGCTAGGCTAGCGGTGGGTGCGTCAGATAGAGTTACAGCACGCACGGAGATGAAAAAGGTATGTATGGACTTATCTAACTCTGGGGGATAAGGTGAATAGGCTAAAGTTTCAAAAAGTCGGAGTGTTCCTTTAATACCACTAACAAGGCTCAAAATAGCCCCACACTAGCACGGTAGCATAATGAGGGTCCCTACCTTCAAACCGAAGCATTGAGAACTTTGTCAGTGTCCAGACAGTTTAATAAGAAGATATTTTATACATACAGTCAACTTTGCGTATACAGGCAGAAGCCATCTTTGAAAAACAGTCTCTACCAGTCGATCTACGAACGCCGATCCAAGTGCGCTGGTGAGATGTGAACGAGCTATAAGTTGTGATAAGGTGAGCGCGAACAGCAGGCTTGGATCGGCGTTCGTAGATCGACTGGTAGAGACTGTTTTTCAAAGATGGCTTCTGCCTGTATACGCGAAATTGACTGTATGTATTAAATATCTTCTTATTAAACTGTCTGGACACTGACAAAGTTCTCAATGCTTCGGTTTGAAGGTAGGGACCCTCATTATGCTACCGTGTTAGTGTGGGGCTATTTTGAGCCTTGTTAGTGGTATTAACAAGCGATTTTTATTTGTCATTGATCTATGCCCAATATACTAGCGTTATACTAGCTTTATAGGCTAAACTGTTTTTAGAGATAAAACTATTGACATTCGATAATCATGAAAACAAATCTCAGATAACGGTTGACTAGGTAACAATGTGTAATTAGACCAAAGGTTCATTTTGCGCCGGAGTTCTCCCTTAACTACACTTCCCATAAAACATTGCCTGGACTCATTACTTCCACCTGTGTGTGATTAACTCGTTTGTGTTTGTCTTTTATAAGCTCTGTGTTTTCACTCACTCATTCCGAAGTCTTGTTTGTATCACCACAGCATATCTGAGTGCTTTTTTGGTTTCCTGTGTTATGGTCCGGTTTGCCTGTATCTTGGACCCTGTTGCTATCTGGATTGTTTGCCCTGTGGTTTTGACCTTTTGCCTGTTATTTGGATTAAAGTTCACTTTAAAATGAAAATTAGCCCATGATTTACTCACCCTCAAGCCATCCTAGGTGTATATTACTTTCTTCTTTCAGACGAATACAATCGGAGTTATATTAATAAACACCCTGACGCTTCCGAGCTTTATAATGGCAGTGGATTGCAACTCAAAAAAGTGCCTCCATCCATTAAATAAGAACTCCACACGGCTCCAGGGGGTTAATAAAGGCCTTCTGAAGCAAAGCCATGAGATTGTGTAAGAAAAATATTCATTTTTAAACTTTTATAAAGTAAAATAACTTATTCCGCCCAAACGAACATATGGATGACTTAAGTGTAAAGCGCAACTTACTGTATGTGAGTAATGTGACATATTGATTGCTGATATTTACACCACGCCGTGACGCACTACGCTACTTCTGACGTCATGAGTTGCGCTTTATATGCATGTAGACTGCGTTTGGCTGTTTGGCTGGAAGCTAGAATTTTACTTTGTAGCGTGTTAAATATGAAAATTTAATTAAATTAAATGTAAAATTTTCATTTTAAATTGAACTACTCCTTTAAGAAACTACTGCGTTTGGATCCACAGCCTTTGCGTCTCTGGAGCACTTCATGACAAAATACATTTTCAAAACATTTTAATACTGAGATTTATGTTGCACCACAAAACTCTAAAAGAATTATCACTGTCCTAAATTTAGACGTAATAGTAGCTTTGTTTCTTAAACTTTCTCTCTCTATGGCTCTGTACTCTGAAACAAACTTTTTTGCATTATTTTCCTGTTATCTCTGTTAAGCTGCTTTGAAACAATCTGTATTGTAAAAAGCGCTATATAAATAAATGTGACTTGACTTGCATTGTATAGCTCACTGTGTGCCCTGTGGCTAAATAAACCACACCCTTTCTTAACATTAACAGGAATATATAAAAATAGAACTAACTTTCACATAGTGCTTGTTATTTTTGTCATTACTGTACCACAGTTTCCACTGAAAATACAGTTTGCCATACTGCAGATACTTCAGCATTTCAAGCACGGCTCTTGTCAGGCAGTATATGCGTCTGCGGGGAGGGCAAGAAACATCTGCATTATTAAAAAAGCCTACAATTAAAGTAGAGTAGCATCAAAATGTTAATGCTGTGTCACCTTGGTTTGACAGCCTCTAAATATTTTTGGTACCCTGGTTTACTGGGCCAGCCATAGAGCCACTGGGCAACCAGAGAGATGCTGTAAGGCAGGCCCACTAATAATGCCCCTGCCACCAATGGAAGAGAGAGATAGCACTTCAATACAATCCTGAAACAAGAAATAACAACATCATTTATATCACATTAGGGTATAATTATTCAGTATAATGATGAACATTAATAGTATGTACTACTCACCAGAACTATTTATGACTCTTCTATGTTGTATGACATTATTTTAACATGATAATTGTTTATGCTCAACAAGGCTGCATTTATTTGATAAAAAAAAAAACTGTAAAAAGCGTAATATTGTGAAATATTATACACTTTAAAGAACTTTCTATTTTAATATATTTTTAAATGTAATTTAATCCTGTAATGGTAGTGCATTTTCAGTCTTTAGTGTCACATGATACTTCAGAAATCATACATGCTCATTTGCTGCTCAAGAAACATTTCTTATCAATACTCAAAACGGGTGTGCTGCTTAACTACCGGTACATGTGGAAACGGTGATACATTTTTTCAGGATTCTTTGATGAACAGAAAGTTAAAAACAGAAAGTAACCCCCCCCCCAAAAAAAAAAATTTATTTAAAATAGATTTTTATTTTACCATTTAGCATTCAAAACGTTTTAACAATGTAATAGACTTTACTGGCACTTTTGATCCGTTTAATGTATCCTTGCTGAATAAAGGTATTAAATCACCTCAAACAACTGTATGATTCTTGTATGTTGAATGACATTATTTTAACATGATACTTACATTATTTGTATGCCAGCTGCTGGTTGTTAGTTCTAATACCTGGAGTACCAAAACGACTCTGATTATAGAACATATACAGTACATAGATGCAGAATCAGATACTATTTCAGAATCTATTACAAACCTACCCAGGAGAACGACTTTTTCCCCCGATCGTATGTATTCTTTATGTCAACAGCGCCTCCTACATCATTGAAGATACAGTCGGTGGGCTCTCTTCTCTCTTTATCCAAACGAATGCACCAGAATACAATTACTTTTAAAATAGAAAAAAAGTAAAGGTTGGTAAGGAGTTACTGATATTGAAGATAACAATAACAATGTGCATAATGTATAGTATCTAACAACGTATTTCTTGTGTTAGCTGTAAACAGCAATACTTTCCCATTACAATGTTCTTCAAAACGTAAGAAGGATTCGCAAGGCTTGATTATGCATTAGAAAAGTCGCAAGCAGAGCAAAATAAACAAGGTTGACATTGCATTTGTTACATAATGACTGTAGCTTTGATTTAGCTACATACTAAAAGATAGTTCAACATGTATTGAAACCAGAACATTAGTGGTGCAAAGAGTGCATTGTGTCAAGGCAGATCACCTGCAGATGACAGTGTCCCGTAAGCCCAGATGGATGCATTCGCTGCATGAACTTCCTGACTACTTCTTTCTTTAGCATGCGCTGATAGCATACTATGTTTCTTATTGGCTCGTGGGCTCACGTGGGCGGGACAAATATGCTTGTCAACGCGCACAACTGCCGTTTAGATAAAAAAAAGACGTCCACATTTATCTATAAATGAGCATATAGAAAATAATTGTATTGATATATTTTAACGTTTATTAGTATGAAAGCTTACACGCCCATATCATAGTCTATATCAAAATAACACAAACATAAACATTTGTTTCTCTCATTGGTTTAAGCGCTTGCCATTTAAGAGGATGTTCCTACTGATGTCCAATCAGCACGCGTACATTATAATTATTCATATATCAAACGGTTTCATCCTTCATATTATCATTTTATTGTTTAATTACATTTAATATTATTACATTATCTCAAAATATCATTCTGTCATAATAAACCAACGTGAATGGTTGACTGAATTTGTATTACAATATATATATTTTGTTTTCTTTTGGTTATGAAGGTCACATTAAAATAGGTTTAAAAGCGTTTCACCCTGCCTTGCCTTTATTTGCTACTTTTCAAATGCATTATGTATAGATTGTTGTTTAACCCTTGTCCCAGACCCAGACTTTAATCTAAAACTATGAAAATCCATAATAAATTTATGAATTTAAAATTAATTAAATTAAAATGATTTTACAATTTTATTGCAGTTTGTATTAAAAATAGCGTGCGTGCGTGTGTCTGTTATAAAACAATATTTGTTTTATTTTCAGTCAAGCTAAGGCTTTAATCTAAAACTATAAAAATCTATTATAAAAATATGAATTAGTTTGTGTGCGTGTGTGTGTGTGTGTGTGTGTGTGTGTGTGTGTGTGTGTGTGTGTGTGTGTGTGTGTGTGTGTGTGTGTGTGTGTGTGTGTGTGTGTGTGTGTGTGTGTGTGTGTGTGTGTTCTATATAAAAAAATAAAATAAATAAAAAATCCAAGTACAAATACGGTCTTCTTTATACGTGAATGATCTATCGGTGCTGTTGGCGGGGTGAGGGGCAAATATCTGAAGCTAGAGAAAGCGCGAGGACTCGGAGGCGGAGTTTCTCCTCCAGTGCTCCTTGCTTAACGTTACTGCTCGAACAGAAGACAAGTTACTTTTGGAAAAGATTTTAAAGTGAGGAGTTACCGAGCTGCCATGAATTTGTTAACACAATGACTTTAAAACACACTCGTTCTCCATTTCAAGCGGAATGAACACTGCATTGATGTTAAAATGAGAACGATCCTTTTAAACGGACTACTCTTGATCTTTGTCGGAATCGCACAAGGGGGTAAGTTGTTTAAATTGCTGAAGTATGACTAATGTAAAGCCAGTAAGAAGGGTATTTCACCATTTAGCCTACCTTTGAGTAAAACGTTTGAGTTGGAGCGAGGATTCAGCAAGACCAAGCGAACGATCCTTCGTTTCCCCCACATATCAGAGGACAGTATGGCAATGACTTTTGAACAACCAGACTTACTGCTGTCTGTGTAATGAGAATGTCTTGTCATATTCTGTTTGTGGAATAACTGACGTTAATACAAAGAAATATATTAAAATATGCATGATTGCAGTTGACTCTTCCATACCCAAACCATGAACCCAATTTTTTTTGTGTACAGAATAGGCTATAGCAGTCATGATTGCACAGATTTGTGGCTCTCAGAGATTTCATATTCACAGTTTGCACAAATGTCAGTACTAGGTACTGAAAAAAGCCTTTTTTGTTATTAAAAAACAATGAAATCCGTGCTTTAATGCTAGTGAATCACTGCATTATGAAAGCAATGCATATTATTAGCTTGGATGTTTATTCAAGTGGTCATGTTTTTCCTAACTGTTAAAAAAAAGCAGCTTTGGACAACAGAAAAAAAAAAAACTCAGAGCGATCCAGCATTATTCAAAGAGCAAATGACTTAAATGCTGATTCCTGTGGTGCATTTGAATATAGTGTCATTTGCCAATTGTTGCATCAGTTGCATTTGTTTAGTGTTGAGCTTCACAATAGCAATTGCACTGAATTATCAAGATGTCTGATGTCTTCTGTGGTCTTATTTTGGAGTGCAGTGTCCAGACTTATAAAATCCCCAAGATGTCAGATTCAAGCTCTCTTTGTGCGATAAAAAGAGACTAAAGATAGTGGCATTCTAGTTTTCTCCTCTGTTACTGTTAGTTCAGGTTTGTTAGTATATCTCTAACCACAAAGTTTGACCTCAATTTTTTATGTTTATCATTATTGTAGATGTACTTTTGATCAAATGTGTTGTCTTAATATTGCTCCTTTGCATTTTTAGACCAATATGGTTAAGTATGGCTTGACATATTTTACTCATCATTGCATTGTAAAAGTTATTCCAATCTTATATTACATAATATAATCTTTATTTCCACAATTTTATTCAGCTACTTGTGCCAGCCATGCAAAGTTCAGTGAATCACATTGCTTCATTGAACTTTGCATGGTGCCTTGAGCATTGTAAACAAAGGACTTAAAAACAAATAAATATTCATTCGAACAGAATTTTTTTTCATGCAACTGTAGTATCACAAATGAGTAATGACACCACAATAAACTTGCATAGTTTCACAGCATTACACTAAACATCAGTATGGGATTTCAGTCCCAAAGTAGAAGTGTTCTGTACCCATACAAATTGTGGAGTGTAAATGCCTATAGTAACACTTGCAAAGACAGGTTGATGAGAGTGTAGAACACATTAGTGTAGATTAAAGGGTGATGTGGAGTGGCTGGGTTAGAAAACAGCTGCGTCCATGCAGGCCTCCATCAATGGACAGCAGGGCTAAGACAATGTGGCCATGTCAGAGTCTTTTATGTTGAGAACAGGGTGCTGTCAGGGCAGAGCATGCCAGCACATGCACATGGGTATCACAGTGCTTCCCTGGCGCCATCCGGCCTGTCATAAAGACAAGTGTTGCTGATTTTATTCATTCAGTCACTTTTATTTATTGTCTATGTGAAAATCTAAAAGTAACTTTAAAGGGATAGTTAACCCAAAAATGAAAATTCTGTCATTTGCTCATCCTCATGTCGTTCCAAACCTTTATGATTGTGAAGATTACAAAAGAATAATCAAATCAAATTAATTTAACTTTTAATTATATAGCACAATAAAAGCAACAGTAGCCATTGTGCTGTGCAACAGAATAAATATTTAAAAAACAGAAACAAGAAAGACTGCAAAACAAATGATAAAGTTTACATAAAAAACACCAATCAGAAAACAGTTGTAAGCCTGTGTGAAGAGGTAGGTTTTTAACTGAGATTTAAAATCTTTAAAATCTAGTGGATATAGTCTTAGGGATAGAGGAAGACTATTCCACAATTTTGGACCAACATTAGAAAAAGCATGGTCACCCCTTGTCTTAAGTCTAGATCTTGGAACCATCAGCCATCTTTGTTGAGATGACCTTAATAATCTAGCAGTTATTTAATTTCAAAAGATCCAGAGAGATATTTTGGAGCTAAGCCATTTAGAGCTTTAAAAACAAAAAGCATAATTTTAAAATCAATTCTATAACAAACCGGTAGCCAGTCAAAAGTCTGGCTGCTGCATTTTGAACCATCTGAAGACTACTAATATTGTATTGACTCATTCCAATGTAAAGAGAATTACAATAGTCAAGTCTAGATGAAATGAACGAATGGATCACTCTCTCAAACTGCAACTCTTAGCCTTAGATAATAATCTTAATCGGACAACCCTAGATTTAACTACAGTATTTATCTGTTCTGTTTATTGAATTTAAGAGCAGAATCAAAAATAACAGAAGTTTTTCACAGAGTGTTTTACATAGGGGACCAAATCTCCCAGGTTGCCCTCGGGAGTAACAGAAACACCTGAGGGGCCAGAAACAATAACCATTTTGCTCTCGTTTAGATTTAAGGAAAACCAGGACTTTATATCAGACAAGCATGTTGATAATGAGCTTAGGCCTTTTTTGTCATTTTTCTTTAGGGTCAGATAAATTTGGGTATCACCAGTGACAGCGTAAAAGTGAAATGACACCCCATGTTTAGAAAGAATAGTCCCCAGAGGAAGCATATTAGAACGAGAACAGCGGAGGGGCCAGAATGAAGCCCTGAGGGACTCCATAATCCAAAACAGAAACATCAGAAGAGAACCCGTCAAGACAAACAGAAAACGTTCTGGCATTCAGATAGGACTTAAACCAATTTAGAGTGCAACCTTCAATACCCACACATTGTTCAAGTCATGAGATGAGAATTTTGTAGTCCACAGTAATAGTATCAAAAGCAGCACTTAAATCTAAGAGTAAGAGTATCACAGAATCAACAGACAATAAAATATCATTAAAAACTTAACTTAATAAAGCTGACTCGGTACTGTGATATATTTTTTTTTTCTAAACCCAGATTGGAATTCTTCAAAAACACAATTTAACTTCAAATGACTCAGAGAAAGTTGTTTGGAACAACTCCAAAGATTTTAGAAATAAAATATAAATTTGATATAGGTCTATAATGGAAAGTATATATGGTTAAAGCTGCAGTAGGGAGTTTTGAGAAAACGTTGACTTAGCCTGAAAATTTGAACAAACACAACTTACAGGTCCCACCCCTTGCTCTCTGCTGCGCTACAGCCCTCCCTCCACAGCTCGTCCTCCACAGCGGAGCCTGTCGTGAACGCGCAGGCTATAAACAGGGCCACCCATAACGGCGGATAAAAAGTTATATGGCACATTCACTAATAGGGACTAAACGTCAATAATATGCTTTACATTGACTATGGCCTGCCCATACTTTGACTACAAACTTGGTCCTCAAATCATTATGTATTTTCCAATAGCCTACATGTAACTTTATAACGTTGCACTCTATCTATAAGTTATAAATAGCTAGTAAGATAACGTTAATATAACGGTAACTAACGTTACAGTATGTAAGTAATTATTCTAGCGATATATAATGCTAGATAAGGTGTGCTAGTACATTATTTCAGCAACATGA